TCATTTAGATTCTTAGAGCTGAAAGGGATCACAGTTGCTCAAGCCTCAATAGGAGAACTTTACCAGCTGGTAAGGAATGCACTCGTTAATCTTTGCAGTCAGAGAAACTTCTTTTCTAGATCTCGAGTAGACTAGAAAAACCCATCGTAAAGCTTGTGATGACAAGTATTTACGAATAAAATGCATAGAGAGTTCTTCCTACTATTGTTCCCACAAAAAGAAGAAGTCTACTTCGGGTGAAAGAAGAAAGCCTTTCGTCTCACAAAACGGTCGGAACAAAAGATGGAAATTCCTGAAACGGAAACCACAACGGGGTCGAAACACTGATAGGTGTTACATATGCAACAAGAAAGGGCACTTTGCAAGAGACTGTAAAGACAAGAGAAAATCCCAAGCGTTGATTCAGACACTCAACCAAATGGAGCCGATCGACATCTCAGATCTGGAATCTCTTTATTCTTTTGATGATGAACTTAATGACCAGTCATTATGTTCAATTGCCTATTTAGACTCCTCAGATGAAGAGTCCGAAACTGAGTTTTCAGAGTACCATCCGGACATTGAAGTTTTCATGATAAAACCTCTCCCAGTTTTTCAAGCAAGCCATCTTCCTTTCCCATACGTACGATTTGTCCCACATGTATTATCCGTACAAAAATCACAGCCAGTTCCTTTAGCCAAGGTCCGCCTTCTCACCACAACATATGCCAAGCCTATCTCGGTTGTCACCTTTTTTGATACTGGGTCTTCTGTTTCAATATTAAATCCCAATATCTTACCCAGCATCTACTGGAGGCCACATCACCAACACTTTCTTGCAACCAATGGTGATACTTTTGTCATTGACAAAATCATTATCCCGTTATACATCTGGCTTTTTCCTAAATATGTGGCTAAACACAAATTATTAGGATCCAGTTCGCATGGCAAGGACCTTCTGATTGGTTTCGCCATACTCCAGATACTACCAGGATTGAGATATGCAAAATAGGGTCTATGCTACAAGAGTTTCCTAAATCCATGAAGCTCTATTCCACAACAATATATAGCATCAGACATCACTATGGATAGTCTCAAACACCAGATTATTCAAACTTCTTGTGCCTCCAATCACACAAATTTTTTGAAGAAAAGTGGATCTCCACTATGTTTAAATCCTTCGTTTTTTGTTACACTCTCATTCAAACAAAACGAAGATGTTAACCCCACAAGAGCAAGCCATCCGGGCATGAATCCAGATCACTACCAGCTTGCAACCCAAGAGTGTTCAGAACTGATAAGCCAGGATCTCATAGAGTCAACTACATCACCATGGGCATGTGAAGCATTCTATGTCAACAAGAGGAGTTAACAAGTTCGTGGGAAGCTTAGGCTAGTCATAAATTATCAACCCCTCAACCAATTTTTGGTTGATGACAAATTCCCTTAACCACGGAAGAAGTCATTGTTCCAGTCTCTCGCTGATGCAAAAGTCTTATCAAAATTTGATCTCAAAGCTGGTTTTTGGCAATTAGGTTTAAGTCCTGATGACAGACCAAAAACTGCCTTCTACATCCCAAACCGTCACTACCAGTGGAAAGTAATGTCGTCCGGTTTAAAAAATGTTCCATCTGTCTTCCAAAAGGCAATGATAAGAACTTTTGAACCAATACTCAACAACACTCTCGTATACATCGATGACATTCTTTTATTCTCACCAGACGAAAAATCTCACATAGACTTACTTACCAGGTTTCATTCCATTGTCAAGGAACATGGGATTATATTATCCGAAAAAAGGATGGAAATCGGAGTAAATTCTATTGATTTTCTTGATATGAAAATATCTAATGGACAATACCAACCACGGCCTCACATTGCTCAAGAACTGCACAAGTTCCTAGGAATATTGACGGCACAAAAACAATTCAATAATTTATTGGGCTAATAAATTATATGGCAGATGTTTTGCCTAAATTATCAATCCACACTTTGCATTTATTCCCCATGCTGAAAAAAGTCTGCCCCCTTGGGGTAGGAAACAGACTTTAGCTATAGAAAGAATAAAGCAACTAGCTGATGTGATGTCTCCTTTAAAGATTCCTATTGTTTCAAACAAAAGGGTCCTCCAGACAGACGCAAGTGATGAGTACTGGGGGCAGTCCTAATAGTTCAAGACAGAATTGGTGTCAGAACAATTTGTGGATACAAAAGCGGCGCGTTCAAAGAATCAGAGCAACACTACCACTCTACCTTCAAAGAGATCTTAGCTGTCAAAAGGGGAATAGAAAGATTCCAATTCCATCTAATCGGTCACGATTTCCAGATTGAAATGGATATGTCTTCCTTCCCACGCATGCTCCATTTCAAAAGAAAGATATTCCCAGAAGCCCAACTTTTGAGGTGGGCAAATTGGTTCTCTCAATGGAAGTTTACTATGAAACACATCAAGGGGTTAGAAAATATTCTAGCAGATTTTCTGTCCAGGTCAAAGGGCTATAAATATGATGTTCCAAAAGACATCCAGACAATCCACAAAGTCGAGGTCCTTCCAATGGTGTTTCCTGTAGAGAAAACAAGCTTTTCCAACTCGTTTATTCCAAACACTTCTCAACCTCCACATCAGGTCGATCCAACTGAAGGTATCACAACTCCACCACAAGTCCTACCAAATGAAATAACAGAAACAATTGTTGACCTCACTTTAAGAGAAAGGTCCCAGTTGCATTACAAAACTTTCTTCACTAGCACACTAAAGAAGCATGGCATGTTCATGAGAAACCTCCGGTTCCATTCAAATTACCCGATCCTAAATGTCTTCCATATCCATGACTTACATAGGTTCCCAAAAGAAGCCCTTTGTTTCTTCTGGTATCTATTCGAGTCTCATACCATCGCAATATCATTCAACTCAGCCAAACTACTCAGCTACATTTTCCAATGTCAGTTTGAGGGTCCATCCCCAGGTGCAAAGAATGTGTTTACCCTTCTCTAGTGGTTCCTCCCAACGCATCAATGGATTCAAACATTCGTCCATGAATGGAATGACAACCACCCAGGCAGTAAGTACTTCGAGTTATCCCAACCAAGAAAGTATGTGAAAACAAGACAGATTCTAACCAGTGCTAACCGAGTTGATCCACATTCGATCCCAGAGCAAGTTATGAACAATGAAAAACTCTGGTCTTTCGAACAATGGGACGAAGCACTTGAACATTGGTTCCAGACTCATCTCATGAAGAAAATAGACACTTCCAATGATGAAGACGACGAGCATTATGACTCCGAAGAAAAACTGCACAATTCTTATGATGACGATCCGTCTCATCCTGACTCTCGTTGGAAATAATTATCGTAGTATAATAAAAATAATTGTCTCGACTAAAAGACAAAATGGTGTTGTAATAATGATGTAAGGTTGAAGTCACTTTATTGTGATGTAAGCGCTTACCTCATTTAATTTGTTTTGTAGTTTGTATTATTACTTGCTTATGCTTGTGTCATGCTTGCGTAGGGGTACCTTTTTTCCTTCCCTATAAAAGGAAGGTGTTCCCTCATTTGTAAATCATCATTGGAAAAGAAATAAAAGTCTCTTCCTTATATTCTCTCTTGTTCTTAAGTTTAAGTTCATGTTCTTCATGTTTCTGCTTATGCTTGTTTCTTAGTTTTAATCATCTTCTAGTCATCTTGTATCAGACTAGTCTCCCAGTCTTGGAAATCACCCTTTGGTTGATACTTTTTATCCCATTTTTAGATAGGACGTTTGTTTGTTTGCTCCTATAAACTTAAAGTCTCATAAAAAAAACTATATTAAGACATTTATACATTTTAAGCATTGTATAAACCTAATGTTATTGTAGTAAGACTAGAAACGCATTAACAATTCTATAACCGGTAAGCCATGGGTCAGAATCGTATTCACATATATCTTACAAAAACCTTCACACCAAACATCTTAAAAACAAGTTTTCATGTATTAAGTACCAAAAAAATTTATGCACAAAAACTTTGAATCTATTAATTACATGTTAACCAGTATGTGTCATATACAACCTCTGGTTTGATACCAAGAGAAAATGACACTTCAAATAAAATAATCATTGAGTTTGTTATGTTCTTCCACTTTACTCAAAAGTTAAGAATTCAAGCCTCAATAAAAATTGAAAAAATTGTTTAAGTATTGATTATAAAATAAATAATGTCCTCAACAAAAGTATCTATCATTTGAACACATTGCTTTTCGGGTACAATTTCCTTGCAGAGCATTATTTGAAGTCCCTGTTATATATTTGTCTTTAATTTTCTTATGACTAAATTGCATTCACGACATTATTATAAAAGGATGAAAACCCGGCCTGTTTGGTGTTACTAATCACTAGTTACATATTTTCTCTCATTCTGAGCATTTTCCGCATCAACAAATTTTATTTATTGTTTATTGCTTTTTGGTTAAGACTCAACCTCAAGTCGCCTTTGCACGATTGTTGGTAGCATTTTATTTATTCATACATTTAATTAATTCAAAATTTTGGTACAAAATCATGTTTCATCGCGTTATCTCGCTGGTGGCAAGCAACCTTTGTCATCGACTCATGTCATCAATGGCTATCCGCCTTCGTTTGTGTGTGTTTATGTGATTCGTGAAGCACCCCATTTTCAGCTCCTAATTCGTCAAAGGTAAAATGCAAGAAATAACAATATACTTCTCATAACTTTTTTTATTATGGTATCGCATTGTTGTTTCTTCTTATTACAACATTGTACTTTCAATTTCTTTTTTAATAAAACATTGTATTTTAACAAAAAATATCCATTATAGAAATAGGTAACTAGTTATTGCATTACATACTTTACTTATATGATATATCTAACCATGCATTTGGGAGTTGGGGACAATATGGGATACAAAAATTTGTTATTCCACGTTTTATTTGATAATAAATTGAAGCTTGACGAGATTGAATTAGACAAATTAAGACAACTAAACTATCCGTATCAAATAAAACCCTTCTATAATTCTTTCATTTCATCGTCTCATTTCTGTCTTTATCAATGTTCTATAGCTTATCAATTAAGACATTATATTTTTAAATATTTTAAATTTATTTAATTTTTTAATTCACATTCTCTCTCTAATAAGGTGTGTATTCATTACGGATTTTCATCCGTCGCAAAGATGTAAATTGTATAGCAGGGGAATTAGTCTAGGCGTTGAATCTGCAATCAAGCAAGACAATGAAAGCTTCGATGATGATGGTGATGATGAGGGAGGTTGGTTGGATATGGATTGGATCAAAATAACATGGAAATCTGGAACAAAATGAACAGTCAAATTATGTGGTTTTACCTCATTGACGAAGAAATCGTTGTAAGCACTGAAACCCTAGATTCTCTGCACAAAATCTCTCAAATTCATGTGAATCGGCTCCGCCTTTTTCTTTACAGATCTCATGTTCGATCCCCATGATGACGTCGTCCCAATCCCTCAAAAATCCATCCCAATTCGCCTCTCCTGCTTCACAGATGGAGTCTAAAATCTCCTGCAACCCGACGATCCGACGACTCACGTTCCTCCGGAATTCTCTCACCGTCGGATCAAGTCCAGGAACCGAATCAAGCGTAAACAATAACCTCATCAGCGCCTCATTCATCTTAATTCGGTCTCGATTGTTGGTTCGTACCGCATCAACTGTTTCCTGGAGTTGGATCAGTCGTTGTAGTTTATCGGCTTCCGAGTTCACGGCTTTGATTTTGTTGGTTAAATTGCGAATTGCATGAGATCTGTAAGCCGATTGTATCTTAACAGCTGCGGTGGATTCATGATTGGAGAGGTGAAAAGTGATGGGGATTTCGGTGGAATTGGTTTGAGAATTGTCACCTTTGAAGGTGTTGGTGGTGGTGGCGCCGTCGGCGGAGGAGCAGGATCGGATTCTGCATGATGATTTCATGGCGTGTGCACGGCAGAGAGTGGTGGTGGGGGTGTGATCAGTGGGTATGGAGTGGAAAAGTTACCGATGACCACCTCTTTTTGCGCATATTGCGGATGAAGTGTCGGTGTTAATTATCCATTGTTAAAAGTTTATTTATACTTTTTCTTATGTTATTTTTTGTAAATATATTGTTTTATATTAATTCTTATTTAATTTTTACAATGATTATTATATCTATACTATCTTATAAAATATTTGACAAAAATTCTTAAAAATCATTTTTGATGTACAAAGTACTGTTTAGTGATGCATATTACTTAAAATTCTAGATTACAAGTAAATTGTGTATAAGTACAACTTATTAAAATTTTATGTTTGAATTCGTGTAATTAACTGTAGATAAACATAATCAAATACAATTAAAATAATCATTGAGTTCTAAAAAATACTTAATTATTATATTTATAAAAAATTATAATATTAAACCTAAATTAAGTTACTTTATTACGTTAAATTAGATTATAATAAAAATTTTGAATTAAAGAAAATACACAAAACATGAACCTTTAAATAGTTAATTTGATACTAATATCGATATAATTTTTTCAAATCTTTTAAATATTTTCAAATTTATATTTTATTTAAAAATAAAAACATTATCACTTTTTCAAAACCACATAAAACCGTATTGTAATGAAACATTGAAACTGAAATGTTTCGATGCATTGCACGAGTACCCTTCTAGTTAACATAAAATATTTTAAGGTTATTATTATTTAGGTAAAGACATAACCAAAAAATTATATTGATGATATTCAACTTTAACAGAACTAATAATAACCTCAACAAGTTTTTGTTTTTGAAACTTATCTATGATATATTCAGTATCCATCTTAGTAAAAACATTATTTTTTTAATATAGTAACTACGTAATCATTCATCCATCAATCTTCTATTCTATTACGCAACATGTTCTTCACAATGTTCATAGCTGAAATTGTCCTCTCAGCTGTCGCAATCGCAATGGGTAATATCATTGCTAAATTTATGAACAAATACACGAGCACGAACCCCTTATCCCTTTTTATTTACGACTATCAACATTACTGGATCATCTATTGTTGAATGCCCTTTAGAACACATAAATCACTAAACCAAATAAGAATACATAATCATTCAACCAATTAATCAAATAAAGAAAAAAACAATATTTATCATAAATCATAACGGAAGATTACAAAACAAGTAGGTTACATACTTCATATAACCCATAGGGGTCCTAATGAAATAGAAAGCATTTTTCGGTGAAAAAAAACAGGGAAGAAGCACTTTAAGAATCCTAATGAAGCATAAAACATTTATCATAATGTAATAAAGAACCAAACAAAAAAAAGACTTCACTGATTAAAAAAAGTGATCAGAAATTTCAAAATCATTAAACCCTAACCTGAGGTAGAATCGGTGGTTCGCTCGGTAGAAAGGGTTGGAGTGGGTGGCTCATAACTGGGCGGTCGACGATCACTCGATTCGGCAAAAGGGGATAGTTGTGTGCTTTATTTCCACCAAATGAGTCGTGTGTTTATAAAAGCATAATCGACTTTATGCTCATAAGAGGCGGGAGACCAATTTTCGTATTGGTTATTTATTCAATAGTGCCTAAATGTTTTTTTTTTTGGGGGGGGGGTGTCGGTGTACCTTCTGGTGCTTACATAGTTGTGCCACTATATTTAGGCATTGTTTAGCAAACATAAGTTAACTTATTTTTTAAGTACATATTTGAATGGATTTTAGTTAGGTTGTTTGGTTGGTTTTTCTTTAGGTCCCGTTTAGATAAAGTTAGTTGTGTAGATAAAGTAGGTTGTATGAATTAGATAAAATTATTGTTTGTTGATTGTGCTGAATATACTGTCTTGAATGATCAAATTAACAATTTTCCCTATCTGTTTGTTTTTTATTCTTAAAATGTCTAAACAATTAAGAACTAAGTACTTAATAATTATCATAAACAGTATACCAAAAATATACTATGCTTCCAAATTCCAACCCACTTTTTATCAATTCTTGGACAACAATCTGGAAGCAGTGGTTGAAAGGAAAATTATCCATATTCGGTCTTTCACCAACAATGACATCACTACAACTTTGCTTGAGACCAACAACCTTTGATTTATTTTTGATTTATTGAACTTCAAACGCTATTGAAGAACAACAGATAGAAGAACACCAAAACAAAATTCATTAAAACCACCATTGAAGAACAACCGATAGAAGAACACCAAAACAAAATTCACTAAAAACAATATTGAAGAGCACCAAAACCTATTGTTGCAACAAACTCAAACAACTGATTGAAGAACACCAAAACTTGTCTAATCTAACAAGATTGAATCTCAACAAAAATACCAAAACCTAGATTTCATTAAATAGCACCGTCATCTTCATCTTTGGGAACATATCAAAACATTGCTCTGAAAGAGAAACGTGATTTATCCAAAAATCTTCAAAAATGATTTGACAAAAATGTGATTTCGAGATCATAGCAGAAGAATTCCTCAAACCTGTCGTTTTCTGTAATTTTGAAATTCTCTTAACTAACATATTATGTTATTTAATTTTTTTACTATTTTATTTGTATTAATAAACATAGTATATTATCAGCGATTTGTTAAAATTATATTATGAAATATTGTAATTGACTATTTTTTCAACATGACCTTTTTGGTTATTTTACATGTTTATCATCTAATTTGTCACACATAATTTGTTTATCAGCTACCTTATCAGTTAGTTTGTCAAACATAGCCCTAGTTACAAATATATAAGTAATATTTTTAAGCTTATGCTTGATAAATTAGTAGTTAGCAGGAAAAACTAAAAGAGTATTTAGTTAGAGATATTAAGCTATAATTAATGAGATTGAGAATAAAAAACTGTTTGATATCATATAACTAGTTGTATACCCGTGCGATGCGGCGGGATGTGAAATTTTGAAAAGATGTAAGCAGACATATCGATTATGGATAAAGATTTGTATTTGAAATTGGCAGTCCCTACACTATTGATTGTTTCATATTCAATTGATTTGAGAAGAACTGAAACAACCTAATAATCTATTTGATGTTGAAATTTGACAACCGATTAATTATAATTTAGTTATGCATGAGATGTCGAATTATAGAACTATCTATCGATCTCAATATAAAGCAGGACATGACTTATCTTAAGAGTGATCAAGATTGCACAAGTCTAATAACTTTCGCTTATTATATAACATAGCATACTAATAACTCTTATTTCTCATATTTATAAATTTTTAAAGAATGAGACATCTTCTCATACAATACGAGAGGATGTAAAGGTGGGACATCTTATTATATAACATAGCATACTACTTGAAAAGCATGTATCAATAGAGAGATTGCTCCTCAAGCCAAGGAAAATGCGGCTACGCCTTGATTAGAGTAATTAAAAATACATATTATATTATATAAATTATTAATGAAATTAATAAGCATCCTTCATTGCCTTGCCAACAAGATTAAGTTTTAATTAAGTAGATTATTTTTTCATGGCAAATAGTGCACCATGTTATGTCTTTTCAATCTCTATACTCATGTAATATAGCGAAATACATCTTGATCTTAATATTTTATTTTATTTTTTTATCTCAATCGATGTTATAATATGGTCTTATGTGATTTTGAAAAAACGATGATGTTTTTATTTTTGAATAAAATCTAAATTTGAAGATATCATAAAATTTTGACAAAATTATATCGATATTAGTATCGAATTAACTATTTAAAATTTCTCATTTTTTTGTGTAATTTTTTAWTTCAATTTTTTATTTATAATCTAATTTAAGTTCAATAACGAATTAATACATATTTGGTTTAGTAATATAATTTTCTTATAAAGATAATAGTTAATTATTTTGTTAGAACTCGATAATTATCTTAATTATATTTTAGATTTTTATATTTTAAAATGCGATGTTTATCTTATATTTGATTATGTTTATCCGCAGTTAGTTACATGAATTCAAACATGGAGCTTTAATAAGTTGTACTTATGCATAATTTCGTTGTAATATTGAATTTTAAGTAATATGTATTAATATACAATACTTCATGCTTACAAATTGTTTGTAAGATTTTTTGTCAAATGATTTATAATATAGTATAGATAAGATCCCTTTTGGTTTGCACGAATGGAATGTATTTAGGAGGATTTAGATTTCAAATACATTATATTCTAATCTCATGTTCGGTTTATTGGATTATCGGGATTTGAAATCCTATTATTTAATTGAAATCCTAGGATTTAATTGAATCCTACAAACATAGCATTTTGAAATCCTTAACATGTACTCGAGATTTCATAGGATTTTGTAGGATTGTATGTAATAAAGTTTTAAAAAATGTTAAAAACATTTGTTTTGTAATAATCGATTAATAAAAATGTATTTTAATAATTTTTATAAATAATGAAATCCAATTTCATTTCAAATCCTACAAACCAAACACATTAATAATTTCAAATCTGTTCCAATCCTCAATTGAAAACAATTATGACTCGCAGTAACTGGTTCCAAATCCACATATTCGACCAAAGAAAAGTCAACTTTAATTTTCTAAAATACATACCAAATAACAAATAAACTTTAACGTACCAAATATATCCTCAACAAATTTCTGATAGGAGTTAGATACAAATAATCACCGTTGTTAATTAACGGACAATTCAATCATCAATCTCACTAATCAAGAACTTGGCGGAAATACGAACTTGAGGATCGAAAACCATCATTCGATGACGATAACTTTGAGCAATTGGTAAACGGTCGGGGTCACTCGTTGGAATCACGTCGGAAACAACCAGAATAGCGTCTCCGGCATTCACCATCCCTTTTGCTTTCATTAAATCAGTGGTTCTAGAAATATTAGCATCCATATCATCCGATAAGTCAAACGAACTCCCATTGCAAATTCAACGCCATTCTTCTGCTGTTTTCATTTGTGAATGCAAATATCGGAAGGTTTGGTCGGTTGCGAGACAAAAGTGACACAATTTCTCCGTGTTTTGTGTATAAAAAAATGGCATCCACTTCAAGCTTGTTTGCTGCACAAATGAAACAGAGGTTGATTCTGGTCA